AGCCCAGAACTGGACACTGTTTAATCTTTTTAAAGAGTTAGATTTCTTCTTCCCTTGTTAAAAACCCATGTCTGTGGACTTACATTATCCCCTTTCCTTCTGGAGTCATGACTTTCATTCCTTTTTATCTGGTGGCAAAGCTTAAAGAAGAAGGGTACGAGTGCCCCTCTCCTCAGCGTTCCCTGCAGACTAATTCAGGGAGATCCTCCCTCAGCTGCCGATTCCTGGCTCGAGGGCTCTGCCTCTCCCTGAGCTCTGGCACTTGACTCACAGCTGCAGGTTCCAGCTCAGGGCCAAGCCACGTGAGTTAGTTGTAGCAGTGAAGTTATTTCCTTGATCTGAACCCCAGTACCTCCTCTTTCCAGTTAGAGAATGTAATTTATGCAGCAGCGTTCAGCTCATCCCCAGATCTAGCCAGAGCACATAGTTCAGATGTGCAACCGAAAAGAATTGAGCATAGCAGCCTGTACCGCGTTTAGTGCATTCCGTATGCCTATACTGACAGCAGTAGGTTTTCCAAACTGAAGCCGTTGCCGGATGTCCTTGTTAAGAAGCACAGTGATAAAATGATAATGTTTTCTTTTCCTTTGTGTGTAATGCTTTTGAAGGAACCTTGCACACTTAATAAGGCATGCTTATGGTAAAATTACATGAAACAGCTGACACTGTTAAGCTGAGAAGAGAGGAGGAAGCTGAGATGAGAAGAGGCAAGTCGTGTTTCATCTTGCAGCTTCTCATCGTGCACTCGGTTTGCTCTTGCACTTGGTGGACTCTTCTGTGAGCATTTTCAACATCATTGAACAAAAAGAAAGAAGTGAGTAGTTCTGTCTGGTTAAAGAGCTGAATCGACTCATCAAAGGATTTGGCAAGCATAGGAGCCAGCAGAAGGGCAGCAGTAGATGGTTAGGAGTGGTAGGATAAGGTGGAGAAAGACAGGATAAGAAGACATCCCTTCACTTATTGGTGGCAGCAAGCAGTTACACTGGCTAAACCATCTCTGAGAACTTTGCCTTTCACAACTCACCTTCAAATGCTGAATCTTTCCTTGCTTTTCTTTCTGATAGTCACATCTATTGTATTGGCCATAAAATTGCACGGCATATTGCTTTGTGATAATTGCATGTGTGATTGTGCAGGTAGCGTATATTGCCTGTACTGCTGTTGTCTGTATTATAACTGTGGGGGTGTAACGTTTACCTAATGTGAAAACTAACATGAGTTTTGATTTGAGCACAATTGTATTTGAAACTAAAAATGTTCCAGTAAGGAAAATTAATCTGTTTTGAGCCTGTTGCTTCATTAGCTGTGAAGATTAACTGGTCTATATTATAACAACACTTAGAATAAAACCATATAATTTCCATAACAGGCAGCCTTTTTTTTTTTTTTTTTTTAATTTTGTTTCATCACTGTTGTAATGGTGTGTCGAGTGCCTGTGCAGGGGTCAGGATTTCATTGCACTTGGTATCCTATGGGTGCTTGTAACAAAAAATAGTGACTGAATGTAATTTGTGTAATCTAAATCATTTTCTATATCATCTCATTGTCAAATATCTTCAAAGTATTAATTTTCTTTTCCCCTGAAGAACTGGATATACTTCTTAGTCTTTGTTTTCAAATAAAATATTCCTCTAGTCTCTTCTTTCTAATAATCTACACTTTTTAGCTGTTAAAAGACCACAATTTTATCTGTCCTGTTAAAGGTTGAACAACATGGTGTCAACTGTCAATTCTGTGAATGAGAGAGGGATTTTCTTAGTTCCTGAGATCAGTGAGCTTTCTGTAAAGCCTTTAGGATATCTGTTTGCGTAACAGTCGTGCTGTTTTTCCATTAGGCAGAGGAGGAAAACTCAGTTGTGACAGGATGATTTGGCAGAAACTTAATGGATGGATTTTATAAGGCTCTGTTCTCATAGGGAGCTAGGTCCTGGGCTGTTCACCGCAGACACAAGTACGAAGGGGGTTAGGTGATAAATTTAGCTGTTAATACGCATTTTTTCCCCAGGTGGTAAGCAGGAGGGCCAACTGAAGCATTGCAGAAGAATCTTATGGTACTTGAGTGAACTGGACAAAAGAAGTGCTATTCAGGGTTAACAAAAGCAGAAGTAACACTCATGGGAGTGAACGCAAAGGATATGTCCACAGTCTTGTACATTAACACCTGATTGACAACTTCTCTGAGACTGTGAAATCCCTGAAGATAATTCAGTAGTTAGCTCAATGATCCTAAAAGCAAGCAAAATGCTAGGAATAAAAAAAAAATAGAGAAGAGACTGAGGAAAAACTGTGCTGATTTAGAAATCCATTTTCTTCCACACTTGGGGCGTTTTCAAACTACCCCCCCCCCCGTCAGCACATGAGGAAAGGCAGGGTAGACCTAGCCAAGAGCTGAACAAGGGCAACAGGGAATGAAGGACCATTAGGAGAACATGAAATGTTGCTACAGGTTTTGTAGGTGTTAAAGACTGACAGTATTTCAAACAACACTGAAACAAAACCATGGTAAAAAGAAAGCCATAAAACACTGTTAAACTGAGGTACATGTACAGCCTGTGACTTAAACCCTCCCCCCTCAGATTTCTGGAAGACTATGCTATTTGTGTGATTACTGTTTGTTTACCCTATTTTTATACCCTTCCCTAGGTAATTGCTTCTTGCCACTATAAGCCAAGGCACTTGCACTAGACAGATGTCTAATCTGACCCTGTGAAGTCATTCTTGTGGCAGTAGATTTTAAGAGAAAAGCTCACGGCTTTTCCCTCGTTTTCAAGTGCCTCTGCATGTGGGAGTCCTGGTGGAGTCCAAGAACTCAATCTGAGTGTTTTTATTACCCTGTTAGCCCTTAGCTGTGCTTTAGTTAACAGCTTTTCTTCAGTACCTGTGGCCAGTTTGCTCCAACTATAGCATCAAAACTAGCTGCTTTTGGAGAGATTTCAAAAACATGCTTAGCTTTATTTGTACTATTTTTGATGTTTGTGTTATGTGTTAGTCCATTAAGTGCTACGCTAAAGGCTGTGCATCTTTGTTCCGCTCTTTGTGCATTTATTCTCGTGTCCAGTGTTTTTTGCAGCAGATGAGTACAAAGATATTTTCATGGATTTTTTTTCCCCTCACCTCCTCCTTTAAGTGCCTCTGATATAAATTACATAAGCTTCTGCAATTGCCACGCTGGTACAGTAGTCTATATTTAAGTTCTTCTCTTTTGTTAATTATTAGCTACTCTCTTTGGGCAGCAAAAAAATCTTCACCCCATTGCAGTTCTTTCTGCAACTTACCACTACAATTAAAGATGGAACAGCTCAGTTCTTCCAACCCAAACAATTGCTGTTCCTGAGTACTTATGCTAAATAGCTGTATCGGCTCCTTGTCTATGTTGAGTAGCAGTTCCTGCCACACACACCTATCTGTTGAAGGTTGGTTTGCTGAGGCAGATAGGCACTTGTTTAGTTGGACTTATAAATGTTTAACTAGGTCATTGCAAGAGACCTAAACCAAAAACGAACAAAAAGCAGTGTAGCTGCTTACTGGGCACAGCTGAACTGGCTGACAGAGTATCTTCTTAGTTCTTTTGGCATCAGTGAGAGTCAGCAATTGCAAAGGAAATTAAGTTGCTCTACTTTTCTCAATAAACATGTTTTAATGATTCTTCAGGCTACAAACTACTACTGACTGTGAGAATGCACAAACCTAGAGTCTTGCAGAAAACATCAGTTTTGCTTGGGACAGCCAACCCTTTCATGAAGATTGCTCTAGCACTTCATGTAGCAGCTGCTGTTCTTAAAGTAGGAAAAATGGAACACTTTATACAATGCCAGTTTAATAAAGAAATGTCTGGGGGAAGGGAATGGGCTGAAGTGCAGGTAAAATTTTGAGAGGAGAAATGTTAGATTGTCAACAGCAGTTGTATTGCTCCAGGTAATTCCATGCTCTGTGTGCTGCCATCTCTCCACGCTGCTTAGTTTTATGGGGTAAACTGAATTCAGTGTAACCTCACCATCAGTCTTCAGCCAAGTCACTACTTTTTTAGGAAGTTTTGTTTTTCAAATACTGTAAGTAGAAGCCTCAATAGTTGTGCAGGGCAGTTCCAAGAGCGGCATGGAAATGATGAAGCTGTATTTCCCATGGTTTTGTCCCCTTTCCCACCTGTGGCTCCCAGAAACTCCAGCTTACCCTCAGTCCCCTGCAGCACTCTCGTGGGGCAGCCATCGGCACATGCTGTGCCTGCTCTGGAGCTCTAGTGTCCACGCTGGCTGGCCAGCTACTGTTGAACAACAGCACGTACAATGGATGGCAGAGTCCCGTTCCCCTCTCTGTACCTCTTCCTTTACATTTACCTGAAATTTGTTCACAGAGCTTTTAGGAACTTCCCAGGTCTGAAACTGCAGCCCTTCTTTGGTTATTTCAAAGTCTTGGCAGAGGATGGGGGGGAGCACTGCTCCATTAGCTTATTTTCCTAGGGAAAAAAATCTAAATGGTTATGATTTCTAAATTTATTTTTCAAATTTTCTGTGTGGACAAATTATCAGATTATCAGACTTAGTGTGCTTACCAATGTATAATTCATACATCTGAATTTTGTAAGTCAAAAATTGTCATACATTGATTCTTCTATCTGATAAATATTGTTAATTAAACTTCCTGTAATCTTACACATTTTAAAATTCCCATGTGACAAAATAATAGGCTTGGAAGAAGGCCTTTAGATATCTTCAGAAACTGAAACCTAGGCGGTTCCCTCTGAACATCAGGAAACACCTTTTTGCTGTGAAGGTGACTGAACACTGGCACAGGTTGCCCAGAGAGGCTGTGGAGTCTCTGTCCTTGGAGATACTCAATACATGTACAGTTAGGAAACATTGCACCTTGTTGCTGGAGTGATCCATGCAACAAAACTGGGATCAAACAAAACAGGTTTTGTGTGTACTGCCTAAAAGTGATGTAGATTTATTTACTTAGTCAAAATTAATTATTCTTTTTTATTTATTTTAGATACAGAGTGTATTTTGGAGCCTCTGTCTCTGCCAGAAAGTCCAGGAGGTGTTACTGCAGTAGAAAGTACTCCCTATGTGCCTTGTATTTTCTGCAAAGAATGCTATCTCTTAGCAGAACAAAACCAGCTCCTGAAGCACATGATTATTGAACACAAGCTCGTCATAGCAGATGTGAAACTGATTGCAGATTTTAGCAGGTAAGGGTTATATTGTTTAAAATGAGTGTGCATGTGTGCAGATATTATAGAAACCTTCAGAAAACTAGAGGTCATCTTTTTTAAATACTTTAAAAATCAGTGGGGTGTTGTGGGAGGATTTTTATTACTTTTTTGATGAGATTTTTTGTTCCTGGATTGTAAGGTTATTTTCCCATTCTCTTCCCACTTCACAGCCCCCAGATGTTGCTGGGACCAGGGAACTTGATATTAGAATACAGGGCAATTCCTGTGTTAGTAATTCTTTGACATATCCTAGAGACTTTTCAGGTCCTATCACTAATCGACAAGTTGTGTACAAACTAGAAAGCTGTTTATTTTGTAAAGCACATTCTAGATAATCAGGTCTCCCAATTTTGGGTTTTATTCATATAGACCAAGACTATTTCTGCCACTGTACAATGTCTTAAAGCTGTGTGTTGTACACAGAAGCTGTTCAGTACAGATTCTCTCGCATTCTGAGATTAAATTCATTTGCTCTATTTTAAGGATGCCAGTATTTCCCCACAGAAATCACATTAATCCTTAACTATACTTTACAGTACTGTGATCTACATACAACAGTGACTCCTTCTACAGCTGTGTCATTGATCATCTCAGCAGGGTCACGTTTGGCTTTCTCTCTCTCAGCTTTGCCTAGTAGCTGGCATGGCCCCAGCTGGCTTGTAACTTCAGAGACTAGGCGCTTGCTTGGCGTTTTGCTTTCACACACAGCAATGTATGGGCCCGGCGGGAGGGTAGACAAGGGACTAGGCGCTTGCTTGGCATTTTGCTTTCACACACAGCAATGTATGGGCCTGGCGGTAGGCTAGACAATACCTGCCAGTTTGTACATAGTTCTGTTGCAGTGTTTAAATGTTAGCTGAGTAATTTCTCAACAAAAAGGAGTTTTCTGTAGATGTTCTCTGATTAGTTACTCAGCCAAAGCCAATAACGTGTCTATCAAGATGCAAAAAAAAGAAATATTAAGATGAAATTTAGGAAGAGAAATGTAAGCCATATAAATCCTTATTCAGATGTATGAGCTTAATGTTGCTTAAAATTGAAAACTGATACTTGTTTTTGTTTGGTTTTATGCTGAAAGCAGGCAGAACAAGAATGCAATGTTCTTTGGAGATAATGCTAGTTTCCTCAGATAAATAAAGGGATCAGAGCTGCTCAGTCATGGACCACCAGTTTAAGTGTGCTTCAGGGATTATTCTGTGTTAATAGAAATGTATTTTAAAATCACCTTTTCAAGAAACTCTCTATTTAGATTCTTTTCGCTGCTAATGCAATTGGAAGGTAGCCAAATCTTATAGAAAGTGGCCCCAGGATGTGAAGTGATGGAGTTGTTACTCTGAAGTGTGCCTTCTCTTATTTGCTGTACTGAATATCAGTAAAACAATCTAATACTATGCACACAAAAAAGAAGTATAATCTGAAGTGTTAAACTGAAGTGTGGAAAATACAGGGAAACAATTATGAGAACATAGCACTTCGGTTATACTTAGCAATGAGTTACAATCAGTCTTAGGAATACATATCTTGACAGAACTACAAGAAGTGGAGAATCCAGAGAAGAGCAATGCTAATAGAAAACTTTTTTTTTTTAACTTGGAAGAATAACGATAAGTTGGCATTAAGGCAAGGGGAAGAGATAAGGTGAATAAGCTTCCACTGCGTGATTGGACATGACCACTTGTGGACACTAATAATTCGTTCTCTCCCCCTGGAATTATAACAAGGAATTGGCTTTATTTGATCACTCATTATTTGGGTTAAGTCTTATGCTATGAAATCCCTTAACAGTAAGCTTCATAGCACAGACGCTTATGGTTAGGTGAGTTTGTCTGAATGGTGTTCATGTATATCAGTGCAGGGGACAGACTAAATGACATCTTGAAATCCCTTCATTTGCACATTTATGACCCGAATGCTCAAGGATGAGTTATTCTTGAAGACTTGCTGTTCTGTGTAGCACCAAGACTGTTTTATTGTGTGTTATAAACAGTGGAGTAGGCAGGGTGGACAACAAAACGCTCACACCTCACTTACTGACATCTAATGATGCCTCTGAATGCGCTTCAGTCATGCATGCTGGCTTCACTGTGCTTAGCTGTCTGCTGTACCAGAGGTTAATCCTCTCCATGTCAGAGTTAGCAGAAGCAAATATGTGCTGATTCCTTGTCTGATATAGTAAGATAGATGGTAAGTAGAGGTAATATGAAGCACCGTGAGATGTGATAGCTGTGGCAAGTAAACTTTTAGATTGCACCAGTATTAAAAGCTACAACTATTTAGAAATGTCCCCATAATAATACCTGATTTTTATGATTCTTTTCCTAATTTGATGGCATGTCAATAAGAAGCTGTCATTGAATATAGCCTTTACCTTACCGACTTTCACATGATTTATATCTTGCACATGACTATAAATATAAGCATGCACTTTTCCAGATTTTTTTTTTTTTATAATAAGATTCTGAATAATTAGCACAAGGCTTGCTTGGTTGCCTTCATCATGTAATTGAAGGTGATGATTTCTTCTTGGTTAGACAGTAGCTTCTAGTTCAGTGGGAACTTAATCTCAGTTAGGGTCTGTTAATGCTGCTATAATACAATGATATTACAAGAATATTTCTAGACAACTGTTGGTGGTGGGTTAAACCTTCAAGATGTGTTTAGGGCTTTCCTTGTTGTGCCTGCTATCCCACCCCCAGGTGTTTAGGGACTTCATTTTTCTGTCTTTCTAGTTGTCTGCCAAGCTACAGCTTTCACTGTAACTCCACAGGAGACCTGCAAAAACCTCACTTTTGACAACTTGGTGTTTTTTTCAAGTTTCAGATTCCTGCCTGCATCTTGCAGAACACAGAGCACAATATTTTGGAAATTTGAGAGTACTCTGTAGTATATCTTTTCAGTAAAGATGCATCTGAGTGGCACTTCTGTCTGAAGATGTGAATAGGTCACAGTGTTATGTAAAGCTTCATGCAAATCTGTCTTACTGAGTTCTTCATTTTGACAGGATGCTTAAACCCAGTTTTAATGAAGCTGAATTAATTTAATGAATTGGAAAACGAGATTAAAGGAAGAAAAACCCACACGGGAATTTAAAAAAAACACAAAACACTCTTAAGAATTTAGAGGATGGAAAAAGTGAGAGCAAATCAACTGTTTATTAAACTTTTTGTGATATTTCCTTTTTCACTAATCATCTCTCCCTTATTTTTAAAGATACATCTTGTACTGGAAGAAGAGGTTTGCAGAACAGCCCATCACAGACTTTTGCAGTGTGATAAGAACAAATTCGGAAGCTCCGTTAGGTAAGTATACTGCTTGCTTACTCCCTTTTGGCCAAATCATGTGATAATTTCTGGCATATACTCCTGCTTTGATCAGCCAAGTGTGAAGTAATCCTACACTAAGTCAGAAAACCACAGAAATAATGTTTAACTCTCAACCACATATTTAATCTTATCTTTTCCAAGGATTGCAACATGTGCTGAGTGAGGATGAGCTCAATACATGCTTAAATGTGCTGCCGAATTAGGGCCAGTTGCAAATCAAGGCCTAGAAGCAGCGCTGCTTACATCGTGGCTGTGGAAGCTTTGGTACCCACTGCATAAATAGTTGGTGACATCCCTTCCAGAAGTGTGGAGAAATGTTCCCAGTGAGCTGTCTTTTCCAACTTCACCCTGTCCACCGCCCCTACTGATGTCGCTAACTCTTCCTGGACATCAGGGCCACAACTGCCTTTCCTTTGCCCTACTTCAGTGCTTACTGCCCCAAGAGTATGGCCATTGGCACAGTGGAACATCCCATCATAAGGACAGTGATGACTGTGCGAAGGAAGTGTTTCTCTCAGATGTAGCTGATGCATTTCTTTGGCTTCCTCTTTTCTAACAGAAAAATATAGTTTATCTACAAGCATATAAGAGAACATTAGGTCTTTCCTGCATCTTTAATTCTCCATGGAAAGCTTAAAAGAGAGGAAGAAATGCATGCAGCCAGTGTCAGAGATGGGTGGAAGATGAAAACTGAGTACGAAATGGATGAAAATAAATAGTTTTAATTATTTAAATTAATTTGTGGAAAAACAGTCCTAGAAAACATGAAAATCACTTCAAAGACCATAATTGCAGTTCTTTTACATGCGTATATTTTTGCATCTGAAACACTTTACCACTCATTTTAAAAATTGCAAATCAAGTGCCTGAATACCAGAGCTTGTCAGAATTATAAACTGTCACTAGCCCTTCCACAGGACAATAAGAATACTTCATTGTGTGTTTGTTAACAAATTTGTTAATTTTAATGACTATCTCCTTCAAAATTGTTAGCTTAGAAATCAGGGGCGTTCTCTTCTTCACACAGGCTTTTGTATGAAAAGGTGGGAAAGGCTGAAATCTAGCAAGTTTAATTTTGTAAAAGACTTAATAATAGTCACTTCAGTTCACCAACCACATAATCCTTTGATTAATAAATAAGTAACTTTCAAATGCAAAATATTTTTGTGTTTTCATATTTTCTTACGTGCTGAGTGATTTTAAGGTAATTCATTTAAATAAGATTTTTTTATTATTGAATTGAATATGAACATAAATAGTTTTACTAATTAGTAAACATAAAATGTGGGTAAAACACATAAGAGGAAATGCAAATTAGACAAGTGTCAATGTGTGTTACTAAACAGTTGTGGTGCATATCTGCAGATGGAACCAAATGTGATCGGTCAGAGTAAGGGGAGGGTATACCAAATGATGATTAAATTCTGA